GATTTTAATGCACCTCACATCGACTGAAGATCGGCCTCGGCCGACTGCTCTGAAGCAGCATTTGACCAGCAGCTACTGCGTACCTCCGACAACCTGCTTCTTACACAACGCGTAATGTTTCCAACGAGAGTTCGAGAGGGCCGACAGATGAACGGCCTCGATCTTGTTCAACAAGTCGTCTGACAAAATCGACGTTGTGAATTGCCTTCCCCCGTTGGGTCAGAGTGACCATGTTGTTCTCATGATGGAATACACATTATTCTCCCTGCCTGAACAACGGCTCGATTCCCAACCTAATATTTGGCGCGGCGATTTCGAACAGATGAAAAAGGATCTTAGTCCTATCGACTGGGCATCCACTCTCTCCGACGATGTCGAAGAGGCTTGGTGTCAGTTTAAAGAGTTAGTCCACAACCTCATCTCCAACCACTGCCCAATCATGCGCAGAAGACTAACAAATAGACCTCGCTGGTTGACTCCGTCCTTAAAAAAGGAAGTTTACAAGAAGAGGAAGCTATGGAAAAGATCGCTGACGGATGGCACGCCAGAACCCCTAAGCAGTTATAAGTTACAAAGAAGTCGGGTCATAATTCTCATCGCCAGAGATGGGAAGATTTTTGAAAAGAATCTTTTGGACCGTGTCATGATTAATCTAAAAATCCTTTACGGCTACATACGACAGAGCACACGAAACAAAGATCCTGTCCCACTGCTGCGAACGGCTGAAGGTGTGGAAAGCTCCAATGACAAGGATAAGGCTGAACATCTCTCTCAGTTCTTACGGTCAGTCGTGACAAGTGAACCTGCTTTTTCCTCACCCGCTTATGAAGACGATGAAACGCCTACCCTCGAAGCCGTCTTCTTCACCGAAACAATTGTTCAGAATGAGTTACTAAACCTAAAAGAACCGACCTCCCCAGGGCCTGATGAAATCCTGGCCAAGCTGCTGAAGGAACTAGCCTCCGAAATGTCCAAGCCGTTAGCCTTGATCTTTCAAACTTCATTTGTTACTGGATGCCTGCCCTCTGACTGGTAGTCCGCTACCATCACTCCGCTTCTAAGGGTCCCACAGGGCTCAGTCTTAGGTCCCACGTTATTTCTCGTCTTCATAAATGACTGCGTAAAGAATCTAGACTGTGATGCCATCCTGTTTGCCGACGACATAAACTTGTGGAAAGTTATTCACAAAGCGGCAAACGCAGACCACCTGCAAGCAAACTTGAACCGGCTCGAAGACTGGTCGAAGCGCTGGCTTATGCCCTTCAATATAAGCAAGTGTAACTTTCTTCAACTAGGCAGCTTCAGAACCTCCAGCCCCAGGACTTACTTTCTAAATGGCACACCACTGCAACAGGTTGACATTCAGAAGGACCTGGGTGTATGGATTACACCTTCACTCAAACCAACACTGCACTGCGCGAAGGCGGCTAAATCGGCTACGGCAAGATTGCAACTCATTAGGCGAGCATTTATGCGATTTGACCCTGACTGCTTTTCCAAAATATTTGGCACCTACGTGTGACCTCATCTACAATACGCCATACAGGCGTGAAAACCCTGGACTGCCAAGGATTATACCGTCTTGGAGAAGATCCAGAGACGGGCGACCAAAATGGCACAAGGTTAGGGTCACTGCCCTATGAAACCAGACTGTCAATCCTCAACCTGTTTCCCCTTTACTACAGGCAATTACGTGGTGACCTCATACTAACATTTCGCCTCATCAACGGCCTAGACTGTTGTTTAGATCCCACTGATTATTTCACCCAAGCTAACACGCCCACTTTGCGCGGTCATCCCCTAAAACTGCGCGCAGGGAAATCAAGAATCAATGGACGGAAGTTCTTTTTCAGTAACAGAGTGGTTGCAGCGTGGAATGCCCTGCCTCCCGATGTTGTAAAGTCCCCCTGTGTGAATTCCTTCAAGTACAGACTTGACATGCATCAAGCTTCCCAATTACCACCCTCAAGTCCACTCACATTGCCCGGTACCATATTATACATGCTTATACTACTTGTAATTAGTAAGTAAACGTTAATGATTACCTTTTTTCGACTAGCTGTCAGCTGTCCGCGAGTATGTACAAAATCCCTTTTTCACCTTCCCATTTATCCAAGTTATTCTCCGACGACTTGGTATCAATAGGGAGTTCCAAGTCGCTTGCCTATATGTCCCTTAATAAACTGATACTGATACTGAAGTCTCAGCAATCATCATTGCCATAAACAAAGCACAATATATGCTCCTTCGCCGGACATATCTGCTAGTCCACAGAACTCAACGGAACGGACGAAAAGTGCGTGACCGACCACATGAAATGTTGGCCGGAATTCCGAAATGCATTTTTGATTAGGAAGGATTGTTTAGGTGGATTTGTAATACTGATTATCTTGCGGCATAATCCTATAATATTACAGACTCGGCAAGATGTTGACTTTCAAATGCACTTCAATGCATGTGTTATTCACACAGATTTCCGATATATATATATATATATATATATATCAACATGCGTGAAGAGTCGAGGTCCAAAAAGATTATCTCGTTCATCATCCCCAAAAGAAGACGAAGAAGAAAAATAGGCGATGCCATGGACCACACTGTATTTGTGCTGACGTTTCGGAATCTGCCTCAATTCCATCATCAGAGTAGTGTCAGGGAGTTTGTTCCTGCTAGCTCAGAGTTGTTCTGTCTCGCCGCCTGTCTCGTGTTATAGCCATGCCTGATACATGAAATCTGACCTGCTTGCTGGCGGGCGATTGGCCTATGTCTCTCCGTGGCCGACCGCTGGGGCGCTGGTGTGACCTCTGCCCCCTGCCCGGCCGCTATTGTCGCTGCTAGGTCCGTGTGCCCTTGGGCCCTCCCCCCCATAATTTGACGGGCCGATTGGCTGCCGTTGCATGTGGGAATCGTGGTCGGCTGTTTGGGCGCGTCGGTGGCTCGATGTCTCGCGACGGTCGTCTGACAGCCGGCTGGCTCTCTCCCCCTGCTGGGTAGGTGACAACGGTTGAGAGAGCCACGATTTGTTCGCCAGTGTTGTCGGCCCCGTCCGAACTGACTGGAGCATCGTACGAAGCACCTGGTAGGCCGGATGAAGATCAATGGCTCTGTTGATTGTGTCAACTGAGGACCAACTTTCGAGAACCAGTCTGGCCATCTTGTCGCTCGCTCGGCCGATGGCGCTCGCCTCCCCAAAGGCGAAACTGTGCTTCTCCTGTTGTATGTGGCCATATACCAGTGACAGCCTATCCTCGCGGTTGACTGCAAGCTGGTGCTCGTGCAATCTTGTGCAGAGGCGTTTGCCCGTTTCACTAACATACCTTGCACTGCAATCTTGGCAAAGTATGCTGTAGACCACTGCTGATTGTTCCGTTGCAGGTAGCTGGTCTTTGGGCCTCATTATCTGCTGCCTGATGGTGGATTCCGGTTTATGGGCCACCCCAATACCAAAAGGGCTCAGAATTCTTGATGTCGCCTCAGAAACGTTCCTCATGTAGGGGATTGCGAGCCAGAACTTCGGCTTCTCATCGTTAGATCGTTCGCGGTTAAATCCTCTTCGGCACTCACGTATGAAGGATCGTGTGTAAACATTGACTGTGAATATGGAATGTAGGTACTTCAGTTTCTCCCTCCTCCCGTCGTAGACATTACAGTGTGTTTGAAATCGTTGGAAAAGAGATCTGCCACAACTGCGTTTGTGGCGGATGGTGTGGTTACTCCAGAATTCGTCACCCTGCCCGCCAACAATAGACGCTCTACGGTTGTCTTGTTGAACTCAATATTCCCCGACATCCAATTCACAATTAAAGTGGAGGACAACAACCAGTTGACCTTCCTTGACGTAAACATCACAAAGATAACTAATTTGGGGATCAGAACTACGGTATACCGAAAGGCAACGAATACAAGACGCATCCTCTTATTCCGGTTGTTGAAAGTGAAGTGGCCCATAAGCCGGAGTACACCATCAGGCAGCAGATAATGAGGCTCAGAGACCAGCAACCTGCAACGGAACAATTAGCATACTTTGCCAAGATTGCAGTGCAAGGTATGTTAGTGAAACGGGCAAACGCCTCTGCACATGATTGCACGAGCACCAGCTTGCAGTCAACCGCGAGGATAGGCTGTCACTGGTATATGGCCACATACAACAGGAGAAGCACAGTTTCGCCTTTGGGGAGGCGAGCGCCATCGGCCGAGCGAGCGACAAGATGGCCAGACTGGTTCTCGAAAGTTGGTCCTCAGTTGACACAATCAACAGAGCCATTGATCTTCATCCGGCCTACCAGGTGCTTCGTACGATGCTCCAGTCAGTTCGGACGGGGCCGACAACACTGGCGAACAAATCGTGGCTCTCTCAACCGTTGTCACCTACCCAGCAGGGGGAGAGAGCCAGCCGGCTGTCAGACGACCGTCGCGAGACATCGAGCCACCGACGCGCCCAAACAGCCGACCACGATTCCCACATGCAACGGCAGCCAATCGGCCCGTCAAATTATGGGGGGAGGGCCCAAGGGCACACGGACCTAGCAGCGACAATAGCGGCCGGGCAGGGGGCAGAGGTCACACCAGCGCCCCAGCGGTCGGCCACGGAGAGACCTAAGCCAATCGCCCGCCAGCACGCAGGTCAGAGTTCGTGTATCAGGCATGCCTTTAACACGACACAGGCGGCGAGACAGAACAACTCTGAGCTAGCAGGAACAAACACCCTACCACTTCTCTGATGATGGAATCGAGGCAGATCCCTAAACGTCAGCACCAATACAGTGTGGTCCATGGGATCGACTCTTTATCTTCTTCGTCTTCTTTTGGGGATGATGAACGGGATAAACTATCTTGACCTCTAATCTTCAATCATGTTGATATGTATGTATGTATGCATATATATATATATATATATATATATATATATATATATATATATATATATATATATATAGATACTTGCTAAAAGCCCAGACACGTGTTTCGCCGATATTCTGCCGCTGCGTGACCCAGCTGCGAGGGGTTCGGCTCTTCAGTGGGACCCCCAGCGTTCTCTAGCGGTTTCCGGTATATGAACTCCAGAGAATAATCAGGTGAATAATTTCAGAAATTAATCAGTGCAGAACCTGGAGTTAAATCTCCGGGACATGACTTTCGGTTCTGACCCTAAAAAGTCATGTCCCGGAGATTTAACTCCAAGTTCTGCACTGATTAATTTCTGAAATTATTCACCTGATATATATATATATATATATATATATATATATATATGAAAAGGAAGGACGTTCTTTGCCGCGCCAAATATTAGGTTGGGAATGGAGCCGTTGTGCAGGCAGGGAGAATAATGTGTATTCCATCATGAGAACAACATGGTCACTCTGACCCAACGGGGGAAGGCAATTCACAACGTCGATTTTGTCAGACGACTTGTTGAACAAGATCGAGGCCGTTCATCTGTTGGCCCTCTCGAACTCTCGTTGGAAACATTACGCGTTGTGTAAGAAGCAGGTTGTCGGAGGTACGCAGTAGCTGCTGGTCAAATGCTGCTTCAGAGCAGTCGGCCGAGGCCGATCTTCAGTCGATGTGAGGTGCATTAAAATC